GCTTTTCTTCCTGTGTTTTCTATGTAGGAGTTCGAGCGAAACAATCTGAGTGAATCAGAAATGACACACAGTGGGCATTCAAGCGGACATTTGGCCAAAAACTCCAAATGAGCTTTTTCAGTTACATGCTCCACAGATAGAGTAGGTGCTGGGGAACATTTTCATGTATTTGAATTTGCCCTACTAATTAAAGGAGTCCATTATCAGAAAGCAACGATTGAGATGAACTTATCGTTTGATCTGATGGATCGACATTGAAACCGTTGAGCCATAGAAAACGAAGGCAATGTGCAAAAGAACGCTTGCGATAAGCCAAACTGTCGTTTCCATCGATTGATTGACGCGGTTGAAGCTAGAATGGTGTGGATTTCATTGGAGGCCACAATTTTATCACCTGTTCCGGCCAATTTTATTATTGCCACTGTAGTTGCGTTTCGATTTCTCACGAAGGACACAAGACTAAGGTTGGAAATTTTTGCAGCATGCTTACGGTTATTATTGGTGTGAGTTTCAGCTCTTCATCCCATTGGAACTGTGCATAACAGTAAAACTCTGAAAAATTCAAATTTCAATAAATCAATCATAACTCGGGCAGGAAGCCGAATCGATCCAACTCCTTTTGGAATATGATCGAGTACTAAAGCTCTAAAAATAAATGTAATAAAAAAATTGTTAGAAAAAACGTACTTTGGACCAAAGTCTATGCTGTAACAGCACTTTTCGAAGACTTTATTACACAAATAAACTTTCTGACATGTTATTAATAATCATTTCTATAGAATTACATTAAAAATAGTTAGATTTTGTGTTATGCTGCAATAACCTAAAACGTTATTTAATACTCAACAATAACAACTGAAACTTTTATTTTCTATTGTTTAATCTAATTCGCTGATAAATATCAATGTTGGTGCTTACGTACACCGTTTTCCACGGTTCCACGGTTGTGCTCCATCAGAAGATGCATGACTATTTGCAGATGATGGTGGCTGAATGACCCAATGATTTGCTATATAATTAACGCCCTCATATGACACTTTGTTTCCTGCGGTATAAAAGCCATTTCCATTCCCAAGCGGACTCCACGGTTCATAACATTTTTCACAGATGTCTGCCGAGTCCTTGAAATCTTCTTCTTCTTCGTTCTTACATGTACCTTTGTAATCCTTGAATTCCTTTCGAAATGAACATCGATTTTTAGCGAAACATGTGGCAGCATCTTTATCACAAGCACAGAGAGCGCTTTCACAAGCATCATTTTTCTTGGAACATTCAATAGTTTTGGTAGCATCATTAAAAGTATAACTGTACGCTTCTACTATGACTCCAGCCCACAAGTTACTATTCCCCTCGCAGCCTTTGTGGTCGCGCTCGGCCTCAGCCCAACATTCATCATGGATTTTGCAACATAAATCAGTGGCATCAACGACTTTCTTGCCTTTTGATCCGGGGCCACACCTAAAAAATAATGGCAATCAATGCAAAACAAACGGTTAATGCAAAATAGCACATAAATACCAGCATCCATAACCATTGTAGTCCATCAATACACCAAGTCTATTACTGTAACCAGGTATCAGTTCTGCAATCATACCACCAAATTCCCAACCACCACGACTTTGACCGAGAACAAAATCATGAGGCAACATTAAAATGAAAATTACTGTAGAAAATAACTTCGTACGCAATACGTATAATAAACTCCTCATGATTGATATAAAAGTGCTTGTAATGAGACAATGAAAAAGTCAAAAATCTTATTCTAAATTTGTTGAATATACAACTTTTATTATTGTGCTATGAAAATATAATCACCTTGGCTTAAAAACTTTAATTAAGCTTTGTTTTGATACTTTCCAACTTTAATTTTCATTTAGTTTTCAAGGATCAAATAGCCTTTTTTTAATAACATAATACCTATTTTTCAATAACAGTGATTGAATATGCGCATCAAAAGTACGTCAAAGAAAGGAAGCCCCCAACGCACAGTGGGCATTTTTTGCCAGAGCAGGCGGACTTTAGCTTTATGAGTGAACTAAAATTTCATGAACCATTTTTTTATAGGTTTTTCATGATCCTCTTTCTAATGGCATGAGAGTTGGATTTTGAAA